GGCAATGAAATCGTCACTAAAAAAATGAATTTTTGTTATTTGAAACTTAATCTAGTTTCTTTAGCTTCTCTCAATTAGTCAAATATGGGCAAACTTCCCTGGGGTTGAATTCTTAAACGCTTTATTTAAAAGGTTTCTTCTTTTTGCCAGGTCGTTTGGACGCGCATTAAAATTCACTTTACGGCAGCCGCAAGTTTTCGAAACAAAGTATCCACGAATTCGCAATGGTTAACTCTGCTGGCTAAACTTTTAAATTTTACTTAAGACAACCATTTTTCTCTTGATTTTATGGTCCTCTATTATTGTTACCCCATCAAATTAACAACGAGTTTAAATAGAAATAAAAGTAGGCTGTTTGAAGTTAAGTTTAAAATACCTGGAGCTGTTAAGAGGAAAGATGCATAAAAGAAGGCACTCCAAACTAAATCGCGCCAAACAAATCTCCTATCCGGCCGTGATGCCATATTGAAAACAATGGTTTTTTGTTGACGCCCCCAACCGGTGTCACAGTCTTTGTTTCTACATTCTTCGAAATAGGTTTACCTGTTTGTTTTTCACAATAAAGTACGTTACTCTTTTGTCGAGGCTCAACGAAAGTATATCTGCTGAAGAACACGATGAATCAAGTGCATTAAGCGCAGCCAATCAGGACCCATTTGCTATCTCACGCTTGTTACGTCACGCTCATAAGCCCTAATTGCACACGTTTTACTTAAATTGGGACAGTTTTAGTTTCGGCGTTGTTTAACTCCTTAATTTAGCAAAGTTTAATATTCAACAAATAGATTGCATGTTGCCTGAGTTGCATCTATTCAGTAATCGGGCGAACTCTAAACATGACTCTGTACCACATTATCAAATTTCACCTTTCCTTGTACAGTCGAACTTTGCTTTGCTATTTCGAAGTCCCAAGGGAATTGAAAAAAAGTTCGAAATAGCGGGGCTTCGAAATAACCGGGGAAGCGTAAAGGGGAAGGGTAAATCCAAGGGCATTCGATCTTCCTTCGAAATAGCGGGGACTTCGAATTAACCGAGTTCGAAATAGCGAGGTTCGACTGTAATTTGCTTTTCATTATGTCTGTACAGAAATCAGTATTTTCATGCCAGTTTCATTCGCAAGAATTTTATTCCGGAAAGTTTTGCTCATTCAATAAATTCGAAAACCTGTCAACTTGAATCTGACATAAGCCGTTAAGAAATGGACGTCCAGGACCTCAAATTTGACGATTTGGCAGCAAAAGAGGGATAAAGAGTTGCCTTTTTAAAGACATGAATCTTTTAGTTTATTTTAATGAATGATAACCGTGCCAAATGAGTATTTTCATAGGGTCTATCACATGATAAAGAGAAGTTACTCAGCTTTCTACCCTAAATATACAAACAGTGTAAAAAGGTAAGTTTTTAACTGTGTGTTTACTCATGTTTTAAGGACAGGTTTTATAGATGATTGCATGGTACCAATGTTTTCCAAGTGATTTTCGAAGCTTTTGTAAGAAATTAGATGGTCTTTGGTGTTGGTTGCCATGGCGACGTAGAAAAGTAGCTTTTTAGACCAGAAGGAGGAGAAAACTAGAGTAGTAATGATGAATTGTTTGCAAAGGCTGTACAATGGTAGTTCTATATACATGTAGATAACAATGATAGCTAAACTTAGGTGTTAGAGCTACCTATAGCGCTGCTTTTTGGCGGCCCAAGTCTCCTGCCTTTTTTTTTTTTTTTTTTTGGGAAGGGGAGGGGGGGGTGTTGATTTTTCAATATCTACCCCAAAAGTAATAATTAAGGTTTTCTGTGAAGTCATGCTTTTTGAATGTTCACGTGCTAAACTTTACAATTCCTCTCAAAATGACCATTTGTTTTTTATATGTATCTCGGGTATACATTTGGCAAGTCATTACAGTTAGTAGCAGACTCTATTCTTTTGTGTTAGACAACTCCACACACTTTTTCATTTATCGTGTCGACGGTCAAGGGAAATATGATGAGAATTATTCGGGCCATTTATTTTAGTCCTCATCACATTTGTCTTCGTTAACAAGACGTCTATTTTTACAGCTTCTTCTTCTCGCCTGTTGTCACACTCGGAGAGCCTGCACATATCTGTACACTTCACACCAGTCACAAGGCAGCTGCACTACAGTTCGGGAGCCTAGAAGATCAGCTGGTGCGTGATGAAAAAAAGAGTAGCTGTAGAACTGTTGCAGGAGCTGTCTGACCACTCATCCATCAATCCCTTACTTGTTCCCGATCATTCTGAATCCAACCATGTCTTACTGGGACTCGGAATTTCAGGGCATTTCTCAAGACAGATTGCAGTTTAATAGTTTGCTCAGCGCACGTGCTTTTACAGTAACTGTATATAATATGACAGGTGAAATTCTGAAGCAACTGAAATAGATAAACTAGGGCTTTTATTCCACTCCCAAGAAATCAGACATTTCGTGGAAGGATCTTTGTTCTTTGAAGATTAGAAGTGCAACACTTTAACCCTATCGAGCATAAGCCCTCACTGTATCGCAACCAGTATACTCGTGATACCGATGTGTCTAAATTTTGTTTTTGTTCCACACTTGAAAATTGACGACGGAATTGATTGAGTGCTTAAATGACACACAAGTTTAAAGACATCTGTATCTTGTGGCATGGTACCACAATCAATGTGCTGTAGCCCGATCTGGCTCTCCTCTCTGGGAGAGGAAGAGGAATCCTTGTATCAACTTCTTGCTGTGTTGAGTGAAGGTCTTGGACAGTAAAGGTGTACCAGCTTTCGTCATCCGCTGAATATCAAGCGACAATCCCGCTAAAACTTCTCATGATTATGCATAATTATACGAATGTTTAGACAATCAACCATTCAAAATCACTACCCGGTTTTCGAATAGTGATGACGTCACCGGACGGCATTAACGGCCGATCGATTCAGACGTTGAGAGCAAAACGACTCGAAGCAATCGAAATTCAGGCTAGTTCACGACTATCCAAACACAAAATTACTGACTTTCAAACTAAAACTGAACAGGAGAATACTATACCATTCCCACATGGACTTTAGCTTTACTTATTTTTATTTATTTATTTATTTTTTTTGAGAAGAATTTGCAAGGAAAAAACCTCTGTTTAAACCCTGAATTTGACAAACAGAGCAAATGTTTTGGAGAAATTTTTAATGTGAGGTTAAGGTTGCCAAAAATTTAGAAATATTTTGAATGAATAATAAAACAATAATTGAATTCAGCTTTTGTATGGTGAAAAGACTAAATTATGCAGACCTGACTTTAATCGGCATTCGGCCTTAGTGGATGACATCCTCCTTGATCAATATATTTCCAGAGAGCACTGAATTAACACAGAGTCCCAGTCGATTTGATGTTTCCCCTGTAAATGGTGTTCAGCAATGTGATTGTTGACATCATCATTTCTCGTCGCTCGTTTGTGTTCTGTCAGTCGCGTGCTTAGGTTTCTGCCGGTTTCACCAATGTAAGTAGCTTGGCAGTCGCTGCATTTGATCCTTTTATAGTGCTCCCTGTCTTTCCTCCGGTTTGTCTCTGTTCTTGACATTTGTAAGTAGTCGTCGTAAAGTGGTTATCGGTTTGTGTGCAACACGTGTACTGTAGGTTGTTGCATACGTGCGACAGCTTGAGAGGTGCCTCTGATTTACGCTGATAGTCTCTGTCGTAACAGGACCAGAGTTGACGTTGTTCTGAGCTAGTGTTGGTATCAGTTTTCTGTGAGTGTTCCGCCAAACAAAGTCCGTGTTGCAGTCGTTTTTACTAAACAACGTTTTTGTTGAGAGGAGAAAACGACTCGAAGCAGTCGGATGAAATTCAGGCTAACTATGTGTGGTTAAAAATTCAGCGAAATTGTTTTTCAATAGCATTTTCACAGATACATCTTAAGCCACGCTTTCGTGCAACCGGAAACCGGAAGTCGCAATTATGCAAAGCGTCTATTTTTGACGAAATTCCAGGTGTTTCATCTGATGATGAAACACTGTGTTGAATGCTTGATATTACTTCTCAAAAAAAATGATTTTAGAGGGAGAAATTGAGGATGCAAAAATGAGCAGTTTTTCATCCGATTTTCAGACACTCATTAAATATTAATTTCCTTTGTATTTTCTTTATGGATTATCGATGAGTTTGCGACTCTATAAATGCAAATTTATAGACTTTAGCTTTAGAACTGATTACCCACAAATTACAGTGACAGAACTGTGTTTGCATGTTCTGACCTATTTCTACCTATCAAGTTCCAGAAATATTATGAGAAAACGCGAAATTTTCAAAACACACCGATTCCTCAGATAAATAAGAAATAAGAAAAGAAACCACCTCGACAACGGCAATGAAAACGTCACTAAAAATGGTCTTTTAAAACCTTATTTCGTTCACAGTATTTAGCTTCTCTCAATTTGTTAAATGTAGGCAAACTTTGCTGGATCGGAGTTGAATTACTTATAAAAAACGTTTTATTTATTTTCAATAAGCGAAAAGGAAGTTCCTTGTTGCGTATTCACATCCTCACTATTTAGAAGGTTTCCTCTTTTTCAGCGACAGGTGTATGGACAAGCATTCACTTTACGGCAGCCACAAGTTTTCGAGACAAAGCACCTACAAATTCTCCAATTTTACTTAAGGTCGCTAACTATTTCCCTCTTGGTTTTATGGTCCTCTATCGTTTTTACTCAATCAGATTTACAACTAGTTTAAATAAAAACAAAAGTAAGCTCTTTCAAGTTAAGTTTAACATACCTGTAGTTGTTAAAAGGAAAGATGCATAAAAGAAGGCGCTCCAAAATAAATCGCGCCAAACAAATCTCCTATCCAGCCGCGATGCCATATTGAAAAAATCGTTTTGTTGACGCCGTCAACCGGTGTCACAGTCTTTGCTTCTGCTTTCTTCGAATTGCGTTTTACCTGTTTGGTTTTCACAATAAAGTACGTTACTTTTTTGTCGAGGCTCAACGAAAGTGCATCTGCTGAAAAGACGATGAAACAAGTGCATTAAGTGCAGCCAATCAGGATCTATTTGCTATCTAACACTTGTTACGTCAGGCTTATAAGTCCTAATTGCACATATGTTTTACTTAAATAGAGACAATTTTAGTTTCGGCGTTGTTTAACTCCTTAATTTAGCAAAGTTAAATATTCAACAAATAGATTGCATGTTGCCTTGCGTCTATTCAGTAATCGGGCAAACGCGCGCGCTCAACATGACTCTGTACCACTTTATCAAATTTCACCTTTTCTTGAAATTTGCTTTTCATTATGTCTGTACAGAAATAAGTATTTTCATGTGAGCTTCATTCGTAAGAATTTTACTCCGGAAAGTTTTGCTCAATTATAATTCGAAAAACTGTCAACTTGAATCTGACATTAGCCGTTAAGGAAATGGACCAGGACCCCAAATTTGACGATTTGGTATCAAAAGAGGGATAAAGAATAGCCTTTTTTTAAAGTCATGAATC